TTCATTAAAGAAGACCAACATCAGATCCACTTATTTGCCACGTGCATAAGCCCGGGAGGGAACACGGACAGGCTGGGCATACGTCTGGCCGCGGGTACTTGGATACTGAGCCTCCCCCTCGAAAGTAACGGTGGGATGGTAACCTGTGGCGTCGACGTAATACTCGACCCTCATGAGGCGGGAGTCAGGCAGCCGGACGTAGTAACTGCAGAGTAAAAATATGAATGGCTTATAGTGAAGGAAATAGAACAAAGAGGGGAAGAGTGAGACAATACAGGCTCATGCTGAAGGTGTTTTTTTTCTTCTTCTTTTCTTTTCTCTTCTCTATTTATTTCCATTGCTTCTCCATATCCTGAAAGAACAGGAAAACTAAGAGCGTGTGTTTTTTTATATTCCTCACATTGTTCTTTTTATTTACATGTTTTTTTTTCTTCTAACATTTGCATGATGGAGGGTGCTGGAAATGAAGCATATAAGGGAAGACTACGAAAATGCATGAATATGTCGAGACCTCTTTGCTTCACCGCTTCTTCAGGGAATGAGGAAGCAATGGAGCGAATGGGAAAGGATGCTGTGGGAAATGTCCGAATTTTCTTCGATATTAGAAAGTTAATGCTGCGATGTCTTTCCTTAATTAACTGGTTTAAAACAATGTCGATAAAGAATAAGGGCATTTTGTAAAGAAGTTCTAATATCTATTTTGTTACTAGTTATTTCACGCGTTTTACGTATATGTTGTATATATTTTCGAATTAACTTTCTCATGCCATTCATACAATTATTCATAACCATTTACATTTTTTTATTTTTTGCCGTTTCCGTACTACAACTTACCTCCCACGAGTGTTATCACCATCACGTTGTTCCCTCTGACCGTAGAAATTGCCGGAGTGCTGGTCACTGACGCCCCACTGGTAGTTGTACCGGGCGGGCGCCGACAGGTACTGGGGTTGCCGGGCGATGGGTTCTGGTGTCCGGTAGCTGTAGCCGTCGTCAGGAGCAGCCCACGCAGTCGCCACGAGAGAGAAGATCACAAGTGCTGCCTGTTGGGTGTGGAAATAATATGGCTGAAGTACAACTGCCTAATAAACAGAGAAATGTTATACGCTTTAGTATCTACAATATATATCTGTCTGTAGAGTAATGACGATACTCGCAATTTGTCTTCTGCGGTATCATACTACACAATCTATCTAAATTATCTATTTGAGTAATTATGCTGATCACAACTTCCAAAGACACCCCAGCACCTTGGCCATTGTAAAGGTGATTCGTTAAGTGAAGTGATGATTCTCTTCGCTCCACCTCCTTATATATGCCTGTGACCGGAAGTAGGCGTGGCTTCTCTCTTTCCTGTTGCATAGTATTGCTAATTAGTCCTTTATTCGCCATTTGATAATCTGCATTGCAATGTCGTCTGCTGATAATGAAGAGATAAGTGAGTATACGTGACTTTACGTGTAGAGTTAAAGAATTGTGTATTTGCATATATCCCTTGAATTACATAAAGTATGTTCTTTGATAGCCTTTATACTGCATAATTTGACGCTACAAATCGTATTACAAGAAGTGGAATATGGAATGACTTCAGCAGGATGTTTCTGTATCTTTTTATTTAGCTATCTATCTATATATATATGTATATATATATATGTGTGTGTGTGTGTGTGTGTGTGTGTGTGTGTGTGTGTGCATATATATACAGATGTATATAAGAATATATATTTATGTATTTATATGTATATGCATATATGTGTGTATATATATATATGTGTGTGTGTATGCATGTATATATGAATGTATGCATATATGTATGTATATATGCATGTGTGTATGTGTTATATTAACGCCTTTCACTTTTGGACAACATTGTCTTTGCAAGTAACTGCATAGATAGCATATCATTATAACTGTATTCACCTGTAGCATTTTAGTGTATTGTTTAATGACTTGAAGGCGGTGTGTGTAAAATGTTAATTGACATTCTCCTTAGATTTTATCTTTCTATTTGTCACGTTCTCTCTTTGTTTTTTGTTTTTTTTTCTATTTCTATTCCTCTTTTTTATATTTTTCTATCTTCATTTCTCTATCTCGATTCTTCTCTCTTTATCTATCTATCGTCATTTCTCTTTCTCGATGTTTTTCTCTTTATCTATCTATCTCTCGCTCTGTGTCTATCTATCTATTTATTTATCTATATATCTATCTATCTATCTATCTATCAGTCTGCCTGTCTATGAACCTATTTATTTGTTTGTTTACCTATCTATCTGTTAAGCAATCTATCTTTCAATGCAATGATTCACTTGGCCATTTTTCTAACATATTAATACACATATGTGTCAAGCGATAAGCATACATATATGTACAGTTCGTATTTCAGTTCGCTTGCTGAGTCACACTTTTCTGCATCTGGCAACATCTTCGATGTAAACATGGAGTAAATCATATTTTTATTAATGATACGAAAATCATAAGCTGTTTGTGGCACAGTGTGTTTGGCAGAATATAAATAGCTAATAAGTATATCAATATCATTTTTTTGCAACTACGTTAGCCGTTTGATCTTTCATTTCCTTCAAGTAGTTATACAGGCAGTATTAGTTATCGTTTACTGCACACTGGGATATTTCCCAAATGCGATTTTCTGGAATTGTTTGTTTATCGAAATGCAACACCTATGGAGGTGAGGCGGCATTTCCGCCTTCTTTCGACACAGGTATCAATTATAGCTGCATTATAGTGTGACAGTATTATTAAATAAAAATCGTAACTGCACCACCTAGTAGTTCGTGTGAAGAACTAACGAAGTGACTGATTTTTTTTTAATGCTAGTAAATGGAAGACATATTACATTATATTCTTCATTATTGAACATTAACTGAACGCAAAACCGCAGTAGGACTACAGTGAACATATAGATGCTTTATCATTGTGTATATGGGTGCACATCAATGGAAATGTGAAGTCAAAACTCGCTGATGAATGACGAAACAGTATTCCATAAGGCTTTGCGATTCTATGAGGAGACGCATCTACATTCGAACAGCTGAGCGAAAAAATACATGTTTGCTTGTTTCAACTTGAGCATCTAGTAGCTGGATAGGTCCAACGAGGGTGAATACAAAAGGCAAAGAGCCGATTCCCAATACATGTAATTAAAAATATGATATTAATATATATATATATATATATATATATATATATATATATATATATATATATATGTATATATATGTATGTATGTATGTATGTATATGTATATATATATATATTATATCATCTTGATATGTTTACGAACAAATAAAATGACGAGTATTTATTTTCGTTAGATTCAACAATGATTCTATAAACAGAAAACATGCTATGTTATAATGATTTTAGAACATTACAGGGTTTAAGAAATGGTTAGAACAATAGTGGTAAAGACTGTAACAACAACAGAAATAATATATGGCTGTAGTATAATGGTGATGGTGATGATGATATTGTAGATAATAAGGATAATAATAGTGATGATAATCATAACAATAATAATAATGATAATAACAATATTGATGATAATATCAATATTATCAATACTATTCAAGATAGTTATGCTGATAAGTATATAGCTGCATACGAAGATAGATAAATAAGTAGACATTAAGACAGATAGATAGATAAGTAGAAATTGTGGTAGTAGCTATACTAATGGTGTTAATTAAGAAAATAGTAATAACAACGATCCTGATACGATAATGATGATAATAACAGTAACAATAACAATAATGATGTTAATGGAAGTAACAACAACAACAATAGTGTGACAGTAATAGTGTTGTTAAAAATAAAAGCAGTTACTACAGTGATAATGATAACTGCTAATAACACTGATTTTAATGCCTATGCAAGAGAAGATTAAAATGATAACGGAAAAATTCTGATGATAAAAATGATAATGCTAATAATAACAGTAACTTTCTGCCATCATTTCGAAATCTCTAAGGTTCTGTGATCGATGGTAATGATGATTATGAAAATAATCGTAATGGTAATAGTACAGCTAATGACAATAACAATAATAAAGATCATTGATCATAATAATGTCTTTGGTAAGTAAATCATGAGTGATCATGATAGAATAAATATAATCGTGATATGATAAAGATAATGAAAATGTTATGTTAATAATGACAACAATCAAGATATTTATTATTAGAATTATGATACTATTAACGATAATTATAACGATGAAAATAATAATAACGAAAGTGTTAATGCTAATAATGATAATGATAATGATAATGACTATAATGATAATGATGTTGATAACAAAATATAAATGATAATGGTAATGATAATAAATGGAGGAAATGGAATTATTTTCTCTCTTGGCTTGGAAGGGATTCGATCGCCGGTCTTCCGCGTGGGAAGCAGCGACCATATCCCTTCCGCCATCGATCTCCAATGGAGAATAAAAGCTATTTGTCTACTTGAATTCAATATCTCTCGCATTATTTACTATTAAATTTAATTTCTTGTTGGATGTGTGTGTGTGTGTGTGTATTTGTGATAGTATTACACACGAGTCCCAGATATTTTCTTAAAAAAAGGAAACAAATAACTATACTCTATTTACAACTATTCATCTGACTATCTATCTGTCCATCTATCTGTCTATCGATCTATCTGTTTTGTTTTTCTTTTTACACATGTATATTTGTATCTGGTTATATAGAAGATATCACTTAAGTCTTCCCTTTAAGAGTTTTTAAAAGTGTTGAAGAATATACATTTTCTAACGGCTCGTACTACGGTTTTGTTCTATTATTTACCAGCGTACATAAAGTCTAAGGGAGCGGTGCGCCACATTTCAATGAATCCTTGTGACGCATCCAGTTTATGTGTTTGTATCCAAACGTGGATAAGGTTAATGTAGTATGTGTGTGTGTGTGTATGTGTATGTGTGTGTGTGTGTATGTGTGTGTGTGTGTATGTATGTGTGTGTGTGTATGTGTGTGTGTGTGGTGTGTGTGTGTGTGTGTGTGTGTATGTGTGTGTGTGTGTGTGTGTGTTTGTGGTAGCATTGCACACGAGTCCCAGATATTTTCTAAAAATAGGAAACAAATAACTATACTCTATTTACAACTTTTCATTTGACTATCTATCTGTCCATCTTATTGTCTATCGATCTATCTGTTTTGTTTTTCTTTTTACATCTGTATATCTGTATCTGGTTATATAGAAGATATCGCTTAAGTCTTTCCTTTGAGAGTTTTTAAAAGTGTTGAAGAATATACTTATAGCCCATTTTCTAATAACTCGTACTACTGTTTCGTTCAATAATTTATCAGCGTACATAAAGTCTAAGGGAGAGACGCGCCACATTTCAATGAATCCTTGTGACGCATCCAGTTTCTGTGCTTGTATCCAAACATGGATAAGGTTAATGTAGTATGTGTGTGTGTGTGTGTGTGTGTGTGTAAGTTTGTGTGTATATGTGTGTGTGTGTATGTATGTGTGTGTGTATGTATGTGTGTGTGTGTGTGTGTGTGTATGTGTGTGTGTGTGTGTGCGTGTGTGAGTGTGTGTGTGTGTGTGTGTTTAATAAACAGATCCTTAATGAGACTTTAAATGATAACTATTCACCTGCACACCCTACTCGCACTTTAAAAGACAACGAAATAATAAATATCTCAGTCTGGTTTAAATGTGTAATATGACAGAGAAAGCTATACAGAGATTGAAAAATAAATAAGGCAAGCGACAGAGAGAGAGAGAAAAGGAAAGAGACGGATAAATATATAAATTGATGGAAGTAACGATAGAGAGACCATACATATATATATGCATATGTGTGTGTGTGTGTGTGGGTGTGTGTGCGTATGTGTATGTGTATATATATATATATATATATATATATATATATATATATATATATATATATATATATACATATATATATACACTATATATATATACAGTTTGTATATATGTGTATATATGTGTGTATACTATATATATATATATATATACATATATATATATAGTATATGTGTGTAAATATATGTATATATATCTCAGTATTGAAATACATATATATATATCTCAAGATTAATGTATATGTACAAACATATGTATGTATATATGCTCACAAATACACACACACATAACACAAACATATACACACACACAAATGAGCGCACACACACACACACACACAGATATATATATATATATATATATATATATATATATATATATATATATATATATATGTATATGTATATATATGTATATATATGTATATATATATACGTATATGTATTTGTATATGTATATATATACATATATTTGTATATATGTGTATATATATATGTATAAGTATATACGGTATACTTATCTATCCATCTATATATGTGTGTGTATAAATATGTATGCATATATATATATATATATATATAAATATATATATGCTTCTGTATACATATATACACATATATGCGTGTGTGTGTACATATATATTTATGTGTGTGTGTGTGTTTGTGTTTGTGTGTGTGTGTGTGTTTGTGTGTGTGTGTGTCTGTGTTTGTGTGTGTTTGTGTGTGTGTGTGTCTGTGTTTGTGTGTGTGTATGTATGTGTGCGTGCATGTGTGTGTGCATGTGTGTGTATTTATATATTCATGTGTACACACATACACACGCACACACATATATGTAAATATACATGTACGTAGGTGTGTTTTTATATTCATCTGTGTGTATATGTATACATATATGTGTATGTGTGAGTGTACGTCTTAGAGTTTTGTGTGTGCTTTAAAAGGGGCTACGATATACTAGGTAAATGACTTGGCCATGTACATATTTCCCATTTTATTACAAAAATATGCTCTCATATATAGAAGTATGAAGAAACGTGCAAATAAAACAAAACTGAAAAATGAAATACTTTGTAAAGGATAATGGATGGTGCATACCGAAGCTCGAGTAGCGAATAGCGTGCGATGACAAAGAGAAAGAGGCAGATCCCAAAGACTGTCTCTGAAGACGCCCATAGAAGGAAATTATTTTCCAGGCTGAGAGTAGAACTGTGTGGGAGTGAGGCCAGGCTGGGAGTACTGCTGGGTAGGGGCAGGGGCAGGCTGGGAATATTGCTGGGTAGGGGCAGGGGCAGGCTGGGAATATTGCTGGGTAGGGACAGGGGCAGGGGCAGGCTGGGAATATTGCTGGACAGGGGCAGGGGCAGGAGCAGGCTGAGAGTACACCTGGGTAGGGGCAGGGGCGGGCTGAGAGTACACCTGGGCAGGGGCACTTGGGTACTGAGCCTCGCCCTCGAAGGTGATTGTGGGGTGGAAGCCGCTGGCGTCGGAGTAGTACTCGACCCTCATGAGGCGAGAGTCAGGCAGCTGAACGTAGTAACTGTCAATGCAGATCATATAATCATATTACATTTAAAAGACAGCTTGATTTATTTTCAGTTTCCTTGTTAAGTGACGTAATGTTTACGTTACTGTCAGAAGTGTCTGCTTTCTAAATGCAGTTTTCTATATTGCATCTCTAATATTACAAGGAAGACAGCAGAGAATAAAAAGGTATTACACAGTCCAGGTTGATGTTATCTCTGCCTCACCTGCCCTGGGTGTTGTCGCCATCGCGCTGCTCCTGTTGGCCGTAGAAGTTGCCGGAGTACTGGTCGTTCACGTCCCACTGGAAGTTGTACTGGGCTGGCGCCGACGGGTACTCGGGCTGCTGCACGACGGGCGCCTGGTAGTTGTAGCCGCCCTGGGGAGCCGCCCACGCCGCCGCCACCACACACAGGATTACTGCTGCCTTAACAGTCAGAAGAAAAACAAACCTTATTGCACTGTTGATGTTGTATTTGCTTTCTTTATAAAGGCCTCTCTTATAACTTACGCATTGTAGAAGGCCGCTTCTTCTGAACAGCAAGTTTTACTGCGTACATATGTACCTTTACTATCTCGTCTTTAGCATTTCCATTTCCTACACCACACATTTATAAATCTACACATGTTAAGTGTAATTTTGAAGTACATGTATAAAGGTTCTATCTCTAGAAACCGAGTAGTACCTTCATGATTTCTTTGCTGGAGTCTTGAGGTTGAACTGATGACCCGCTCAGCTTCCCTCCCTTTATATAGTCCGCCAGAGGGGCGGGCCGCAGTCTTCGCATGACAATGAATGAAGGACATGCTTTGTAAAAATGCTTTTTCTATCAACTTTTTTATTTTCATTTCTACATCACCTTTTCAGAAAGAGAATAATGCGATTTGTACACGTTATTAATATCATTTTCTTCAAGCATTATTCTTTTAACATCATGTAAGAATGCATAGTTCATGTTCGTATCATTATATTGGAATGCAAACGTTACACCATGTGATATGCACATCTCATTAAAACCCTGAAATATATAACAAACGCACTACATTTCGAGAATGCAGTTCGTGAATATTTTCAACTATTGTGTAGATGTGTTCTGTGTAAGAGTTTCTGCATGCGCAAGAGCGTTGACTTACAAAGGAATATCTACAGTGAAATGAACGGATAACAATGATTGTCGTTATCAGTATTACTATTTCTGTTAATACCAATAGTCGTTATGCTAACATAGTAGTAGTAGCGAGCGAGAGAGCTACAAAATGAAATGTTACATGGGCAGTGGGTAGTTATTGGTATTTTTCTCTTAGCTAATTAAAGTGATTGTATGTGTGTGTGTGTGTGTGTGTCTGTGTGTGTGTTTGAATATGTGTGTGTGAAGAACCTTGATGATTAATCTTCCTATAAAACTAAGTACATTGAGACCTTGCACACGTATTTCTCCGAATTCCTCCTTAGAATATTCGATAACACATGCTTCGTATGTATGCTTCGAAAAGACCACATGAGTGTTGGATGTTTAAGCAAAACGAATCAAATAGCAATTAAATAATGAATAAATATATATAAATGAATACATAAATACAAAATCAAATGAATGGATAAATATAAAAATGAATAGATGAATAAACATATTAATGAATTGAGAGATAAATTCATTAATAAACGAACAGAGGTTCATAAGAGGAAAATTAATACCTATCTAATAAACACCTTCTACAGCATGAAAGACGAACTACCCCCTTGGGTATCCCTGCCACTGGGTCTCAATGCCCGTTGATCTTGCAGTTAATGCAAAAATCTCACTAATCTTTAACGCTAATTGGCACACTGCACAGGACGAATGTTTGGCACTCTGTACGATTGTCGATGAAAAGGGGATAGTAATGTTGTTGTGTATACAGTCATTAATCTAATGGATGGTTCCAGGAACAATTTTCAAGAGTATTAACTTGGAAGGTCAAATTATTTACGTAGATTGATTTTGCTATACAGGCTGCACACACCGAGGAATAAATGTCTAAACAACGTATGTAACTCCAAAGCTTATTTCAGAAGCAAAGATAAAAGATGAATTAGATCACACTTCAACACCTCATTCTCCCACTTCATTTAAAGTCAAGCAAGAAAGAGAGAGAGAGAGAGAGATGGAGTAACTAAGAAATGGTAGTACTATATACTATATATACTATATACGTCATTAGCATCGACCTCACCACCTAGCGTGGAACTACTATATACTACTTGTATAATAGCAAGTCTAATAGTATTGTTTTCAGGAGGGGTACCCTAAGCACCCATTGTAAAATATCTGATACCTTTGGCCAAATCCATGAACCACTTACAAACAGAATTGTGTTACTGTAATGTAAAAAGAAAGTCTATTCTAATGAAAACAATAGGTTACATTTTGATCCACGTCTTACATGTGGACATGACAGCGACTGATGAATATCAAACATGTATGGTAATACTTAGGGAACAGTGCTCTTGTAATAATCCTGTACATGATTTTGGGGAGAGGTTAATGCCACCTTTTCTGTTGATTCTGCTCTCTGCCCGTGATGTATATTCACTTTTGTTCCAAAATTTATCTCCGTTATTCTTTTAATGTTTAGAATATGCTCAGATTACAACTGTACTGCTTTCAACATCACCTGGCACGACGATTTAACATACGGAGCCAAAAACGTTGCCTCACATATTTCTAGAAACATGCTACGTAGGTAATACTAAACAAGCCATACATGTTAGTAGGTCTGTACACGTGCTCACAACAATGATACATTCAAGCCAGTGTCTTGAAACATGTAGGCCCATACAATGATAGGTCATGGAACAGATTTTTTCCTGATTCAGCAGTCTAATAACAAGGTCATTAATCTGGACTCGCATATTTTTGTCAGTTTTATTATAAAAATATTCTCTTGGAATCTATATAAAAATATATTGATTTAAAGAAACGAGTAAATATTACAGAAAAGGAGACAAAATAGGTTGTAAATAATGAATGGTGGACATCGAAGCTCAAAGAATGAGAGGTGTGCGATGACAGAAGAGAGAGGCAGATCCCGACACCTAAAGGAGGAAATTATTTTCCAGGTTGAGAGTAGAACTGTGTGGGGGCAGGGGCAGGGGCAGGCTGAGAGTACACCTGGGTAGGGGCAGGGGCAGGGGCAGGCTGAGAGTACACCTGGGTAGGGGCAGGGGCAGGAGCAGGAGCAGGCTGAGAGTACACCTGGGCAGGGGCAGGAGCAGGTTGGGAATACACCTGGGTAGGGGCAGGGGCGGGCTGAGAGTACACCTGGGCAGGGGCACTTGGGTACTGAGCCTCGCCCTCGAAGGTGATTGTGGGGTGGAAGCCGCTGGCGTCGGAGTAGTACTCGACCCTCATGAGGCGAGAGTCAGGCAGCTGGACGTAGTAACTGTCAAATAGATATGCGTCTTAGGTAAGAGATAACTGATTACGCAGTTCCTTTCCCTTTCCCTGATGGTAATTAATTCTGAACGGGATGATAATTTATATTCTCTTTTACCTTATCGCATGACTATATTACTATTAAGGCAGCAAATATATATATATATACATATTTCCAAGTCCCGACTGCCTCACCTGCCCTGGGTGTTGTCGCCATCGCGCTGCTCCTGTTGGCCGTAGAAGTTGCCGGAGTACTGGTCGTTCACGTCCCACTGGAAGTTGTACTGGGCGGGACGCCGACGGGTACTCGGGCTGCTGCACGACGGGCGCCTGGTAGTTGTAGCCGCCCTGGGGAGCCGCCCACGCCGCCGCCACCACACACAGGACTACTGCTGCCTAAACAGAAGAAAAGCAAGATTAAATCCACCGTTTAAGGTTCATCTGCATTTTGATAGGCATTCTTTATATCCGCCTCCCATATAGCCTGTATATTGCAGAATACCGCTTGACCATGAATACAAATGCTTCTTTTCCCTTGACCTCAAAGTTTATCCATTGGTTACACTTGCACTTTTACTTATATCAACTTTTTTTTTCGTTTCCTTCTCGCTATTCGCAATAGATCTCTAGAAAGATGGTATAGCTTCATTGAATACCTTCATGATTGCTGGAGTGTTGAGGGTGAACTGATGACCCGCTCACCCACCCTCCTTTATATAGTCCGCCAGCTGCCAAAGGGGCGGGGCCTAATCTTCGCATCGTAATGAGCGAAGGGCATGCCTTCGAGAAGTGAATCTCGTATTTTGTTTTAGTTATATTATGTCTGTTGTTTTACGGGGAAGTACAGAGGCAGGACTGTAATTGAAATAACCTATGCTATCTATGTGTTCACTTTACATAATAAGATTTCAGGTTATTAAGGTGACTTCCTTCAACCAATCCTTTTCTTAAAAAAAAAAAAAAAAAAAAAAAAAAAAAAGTAGGTTATTAAGGTGACTTCCTTCAACCAATCCTTTTCTTAAAAAAAAAAAAAAAAAAAAAAAGTATAGTTTATACCAGCACTATGTATATAAAAACAGGAACTTACACCGTGTTAAATGCATATCAACTTCAAACCTTAATTAAACAATTCGAGAATGCAGTTCCTGAATATCCTGTTTGGATGTGTGCTGTGTGTCTTTAGTTGTCTTTTATTTGCATTTAACACAAGGGATTGCCTACGATAAAATGAACTGATAATCGCAATTACCATTACCATAATCACAACTACCCTTAGTTCTAATAGTAGTAATGGTGACAGTAATAGTAGTGAGCGGGTGAGCGAGCTACAATTTCTACAGAACAAACTATCAGTATCACTATCAAGAGCCAAGAATTATGTTTTTGATATGCCACTTCCGAAATAACTGCATTTGACTGTTAGTTAGTTCAACTAAGTGAAATACGTATGTACGTGGGCAGTTATTAGTAGTATTCTATTATTAAGTGAATGAAGTGGTATTGTGTGTGTCTGTGTGTGCGTGCGTCCTCGCGTGCGTGCATGTATGTATGTGTGAATGTGTGTGTGCACGCGCGCGTGTGCATGGAACATTCTTGATAGTTAATCTCCATGTAAAACTAGGTGAATTGACTCAAATCTTTCACATGTAAAACTTTAAGATATTTTATTTCATTTTCGGGATTACTCGAAAAACACAATTTAGAGGGGGTAGCAATAATGATAAGCAGATGAATAAATAAATAGGTGAATCGTTAAATATATAAATGTGTGAAGAAATGAATGAATAAGTAAAAACGAAGATAAATGAAATATGTAGGTAAATAAATTATTAGATAAATTCATAAATAAGTAAGTAAATAAATAGATAAATTCATAAATGAGTAAATAAATGAATAAATAAGAAAAAAATATTAGATAGATTAGCAATGAATGAAGAAAGAAATCATGAATTAACGTTAACACAAATACCTATTCAATAAACACAAAGTGCACTATAACGAAGTCAAGAAGAACCACCTTGGGTATCACTGGCCTGTCATTCTTCCTGCCCATTTCCGTTGATTTCATAATTAATGCAAATATCTCACTGATCGTTAACGCTTATTGGCATACTGCACAGGACGAATAGTTGGCAGTTTGTACCATTAACTACCAAAAAAAAGGAAATATTAGGGTTGTTGTCTATACAGTCATTAATCTTATGGATGGTCCCAGGAACGGTTTTCAAAGGCTTTAGTTTAGAAGGTCAAGTTATTTATGTGCTGTTGTGCAGGACTGTCTAAATAATCTTTGTCACTCCAAAGTTTATTTCATAACAGAATAAGGTAAACGATCATTTATGTCATATTTCAATACCTTATTCTTTCACTTCACTTAACCTTGAAGCCACACAAGGACTATAGAAACAATTGGTTGTCCACGAAGACAGAATCTACAGACATTTACCGTCTCTGGCATCAACCTCGGCTCAAATAAGTTGCGTCGCAACTAAAATGTATATATATATATATATATATATATATATATATATATATATATATATATATATATCTTTTTTCCACGAACTTTTATATTAGCAATTCTACCTCAATCCCTCACTTCCAAAACAGCTACCCAAAATACCCAAAGTATAATAACATTTTCTCGATACGTCAATCACCATTAAGGTAATTGATACGTCAATCAACACAAGGGAAAAGTATCAAAGAGTAAAAGAAAGGAATGTAACTTAATGAAGACATAAGATTATATAGATCTTTGATTCACGTCGCGACTGCGACTGATGAATACTAAACACTGAATACTACTAATATGTGATGAACAGCACTTTCATAATAATCCTTTACATGAATTCTGATGCATATCGTTCGCTTCAAACTCAAATGCAGTTTTACCCGAGTGGCAGAGAAACCCACGAAACGCAGGGGTATGGTATTTATTTCCAGTATTAGGATTGCAAGGGTTGTAATGCCACCTTTTGTGCTGATTCTGCTCTCTGCATGTGATGCATACGCACGGAACATATAATGGTAATCTTTGTTATTATTTTCTGATTGATAGATGCAGACACAGTTCGCCATTTCAGTCCCGAATATTACATTAAGATTAACATTGTTGTTAACTACAGCTTCCATAACCGCTTGCCTAGAGTCGGAATATTTTGAATACGAATCAAAGACGATTCATCCTAAGGTTTCGTGCCCCCGAAACCTAAAACATTGCCCGAAACATTGCTGGCAACATGTCCGGGACATGCTACACACAATTCTGAACAAGCCATTGATAACAAGTGATTGTCCTCATTCTTGTTCACGACCAAGAAACGTCCAATCCAGTGACTCAGAACATACTTTCAGGTTCGAACGTCCAAACGAGTATTTTTTATAGCGTTTGTACGTATTGTTTATGCAACGTATATATCCTGTATGTACGATTATCACAGCTCTTGGAGAAGAACTGACCATAAATGATTTATTTTATATGTTTCTACTTTGATTGAGGTGATGTTCCTTCCATTTGCTAACAATTTATAACAAGGTCATTAATCTGGTCTAGCATATTTCCGTCAGTTTTATTATAAAAAATATATCGGAATCTATATAAAAATATATCGATTTAAAGAAACGAGTAAATATTACAGAAAAGGAGACAAAATAGGTTGTAAATAATGAATGGTGGACATCGAAGCTCAAAGAATGAGAGGTGTGCGATGACAGAAGAGAGAGGCTGATCCCGACACCTAAAGGAGGAAATTATTTTCCAGGTTGAGAGTAGAACTGTGTGGGGGCAGGGGCAGGGGCAGGCTGAGAGTACACCTGGGTAGGGGCAGGGGCAGGGGCAGGCTGAGAGTACACCTGGGTAGGGGCAGGGGCAGGAGCAGGAGCAGGCTGAGAGTACACCTGGGCAGGGGCAGGAGCAGGTTGGGAATACACCTGGGTAGGGGCAGGGGCGGGCTGAGAGTACACCTGGGCAGGGGCACTTGGGTACTGAGCCTCGCCCTCGAAGGTGATTGTGGGGTGGAAGCCGCTGGCGTCGGAGTAGTACTCGACCCTCATGAGGCGAGAGTCAGGCAGCTGGACGTAGTAACTGTCAAATAGATATGCGTCTTAGGTAAGAGATAACTGATTACGCAGTTCCTTTCCCTTTCCCTGATGGTAATTAATTCTGAACGGGATGATAATTTATATTCTCTTTTACCTTATCGCATGACTATATTACTATTAAGGCAGCAAATATATATATATATACATATTTCCAAGTCCCGACTGCCTCACCTGCCCTGGGTGTTGTCGCCATCGCGCTGCTCCTGTTGGCCGTAGAAGTTGCCGGAGTACTGGTCGTTCACGTCCCACTGGAAGTTGTACTGGGCGGACGCCGACGGGTACTCGGGCTGCTGCACGACGGGCGCCTGGTAGTTGTAGCCGCCCTGGGGAGCCGCCCACGCCGCCGCCACCACACACAGGACTACTGCTGCCTAAACAGAAGAAAAGCAAGATTAAATCCACCGTTTAAGGTTCATCTGCATTTTGATAGGCATTCTTTATATCCGCCTCCCATATAGCCTGTATATTGCAGAATACCGCTTGACCATGAATACAAATGCTTCTTTTCCCTTGACCTCAAAGTTTATCCATTGGTTACACTTGCACTTTTACTTATATCAACTTTTTTTTTTCGTTTCCTTCTCGCTATTCGCAATAGATCTCTAGAAAGATGGTATAGCTTCATTGAATACCTTCATGATTGCTGGAGTGTTGAGGGTGAACTGATGACCCGCTCACCCACCCTCCTTTATATAGTCCGCCAGCTGCCAAAGGGGCGGGGCCTAATCTTCGCATCGTAATGAGCGAAGGGCATGCCTTCGAGAAGTGAATCTCGTATTTTGTTTTAGTTATATTATGTCTGTTGTTTTACGGGGAAGTACAGAGGCAGGATTGTAATTGAAATAACCTATGCTATCTATGTGTTCACTTTACATAATAAGATTTCAGGTTATTAAGGTGACTTCCTTCAACCAATCCTTTTCTTAAAAAAAAAAAAAAAGTAGGTTATTAAGGTGACTTCCTTCAACCAATCCTTTTCTTAAAAAAAAAAAAAAAAAAAAAAAAAGTATAGTTTATACCAGCACTATGTATATAAAAACAGGAACTTACACCGTGTTAAATGCATATCAACTTCAAACCTTAATTAAACAATTCGAGAATGCAGTTCCTGAATATCCTGTTTGGATGTGTGCTGTGTGTCTTTAGTTGTCTTTTATTTGCATTTAACACAAGGGATTGCCTACGATAAAATGAACTGATAATCGCAATTACCATTACCATAATCACAACTACCCTTAGTTCTAATAGTAGTAATGGTGACAGTAATAGTAGTGAGCGGGTGAGCGAGCTACAATTTCTACAGAACAAACTATCAGTATCACTATCAAGAGCCAAGAATTATGTTTTTGATATGCCACTTCCGAAATAACTGCATTTGACTGTTAGTTAGTTCAACTAAGTGAAATACGTATGTACGTGGGCAGTTATTAGTAGTATTCTATTATTAAGTGAATGAAGTGGTATTGTGTGTGTCTGTGTGTGCGTGCGTCCTCGCGTGCGTGCATGTATGTATGTGTGAATGTGTGTGTGCACGCGCGCGTGTGCATGGAACATTCTTGATAGTTAATCTCCATGTAAAACTAGGTGAATTGACTCAAATCTTTCACATGTAAAACTTTAAGATATTTTATTTCATTTTCGGGATTACTCGAAAAACACAATTTAGAGGGGGTAGCAATAATGATAAGCAGATGAATAAATAAATAGGTGAATCGTTAAATATATAAATGTGTGAAGAAATGAATGAATAAGTAAAAACGAAGATAAATGAAATATGTAGGTAAATAAATAGATAGATAAATTCATAAATAAGTAAGTAAATAAATAGATAAATTCATAAATGAGTAAATAAATGAATAAATAAGAAAAAAATATTAGATAGATTAGCAATGAATGAAGAAAGAAATCATGAATTAACGTTAACACAAATACCTATTCAATAAACACAAAGTGCACTATAACGAAGTCAAGAAGAACCACCTTGGGTATCACTGGCCTGTCATTCTTCCTGCCCATTTCCGTTGATTTCATAATTAATGCAAATATCTCACTGATCGTTAACGCTTATTGGCATACTGCACAGGACGAATAGTTGGCAGTTTGTACCATTAACTATCAAAAAAAAGGAAATATCAGGGTTGTTGCCTATACAGTCATTAATCTTATGGATGGTCCCAGGAACGGTTTTCAAAGGCTTTAGCTTAGAAGGTCAAGTTATTTATGTGCTGTTGTGCAGGACTGTCTAAATAATCTTTGTCACTCCAAAGTTTATTTCATAACAGAATAAGATAAAAGATCATTTATGTCATATTTCAATACCTTATTCTTTCACTCCACTTAACCTTGAAGCCACACAAGGACTATAGAAACAATTGGTTGGCCACGAAGACGGAATCATCACACATTTACCGTCTCTGGCATCAGCCTCGGCTCAAATAAGTTGCGTCGCAACTAAAATGTGTATATATATATATTTCTTTTTTTCCACAAACTTTTATAATAACAATTCTACCTCAATCCCTCACTTCTAAAACAGCTACCTAAAATACCCAAAGTATAATAACATTTTCTCGATACGTCAATCACCATTAAGGTGATTGATACGTCAATCAACACAAGGAAAAAAAATATCAAAGAGTAAAAGAAAGGAATGTAACTTAATGAAGACATGAGATTATATAGATCTTCGATTCACGTCGCGACCGCGACTGATGAATACTAAACACCGCATGGTAATATGTGATGAACAGCACTTTCATAATAATCCTTTACATGAATTCTGATGCATATCGTTCGCTTCAAACTCAAATGCAGTTTTACCCGAGTGGCAGAGAAACCCACGAAACGCAGGGGTATGGTATTTATTTCCAGTATTAGGATTGCAAGGGTTGTAATGCCACCTTTTGTGCTGATTCTGCTCTCTGCATGTGATGCATACGCACGGGAACGTATAATGGTAATCTTTGTTATTATTTTCTGATTGATAGATGCAGACACAGTTCGCCATTTCAGTCCCGAATATTACATTAAGATTAACATTGTTAACTACAGCTTTCATAACCGCTTGCCTAGAGTCGGAATATTTTGAATACGAATCAAAGACGATTCATTCTAAGGTTTCGTGCCCCCGAAACCTAAAACATTGCCCGAAACATTGCTGGCAACATGTCCGGGACATGCTACACACAATTCTGAACAAGCCATTGATAACAAGTGATTGTCCTCATTCTTGTTCACGACCAAGAAACGTCCAATCCAGTGACTCAGAACATACTTTCAGGTTCGAACGTCCAAACGAGTATGTTTTATAGCGTTTGTACGTATTGTTTATGCAACGTATATATCCTGTATGTACGATTATCACAGCTCTTGGAGAAGAACTGACCATAAATGATTTATTTTATATGTTTCTACTTTGATTGAGGTGATGTTCCTTCCATTTGCTAACAATTTATATCAAGGTCATTAATCTGGTCTAGCATATTTCCGTCAGTTTTATTATAAAAAATATATCGGAATCTATATAAAAATATATCGATTTAAAGAAACATGTAAACATTACAGAAAAGGAGACAAAACACGTTGTAGATAATAATGGTGGACACCGAAGCTCAAGGAATGAGAGATGAGCGATGATAGAAGTGAGAGGCAGATCCCGACACTCAAAGAAGGAAATTATTTTCCAGGTTGAGAGTAGAACTGTGTGGGGGCAGGGGCAGGAGCAGGCTGAGAGTACACCTGGGCAGGGGCAGGGGCAGGCTGGGAGTACACCTGGGTAGGAGCAGGGGCGGGCTGAGAGTACACCTGGGCAGGGGCACTTGGGTACTGAGCCTCGCCCTCAAAGGTGACTGTGGGGTGGAAGCCGCTGGCGTCGGAGTAGTAGTCGACCCTCATGCGGCGAGAGTCAGGCAGCTGGACGTAGTAACTGTGGATGCAAACGATGTATCACTATTAAAAGAGTATTGCTGAATTGTTTGTTCATGAACGTTGCAATTCATGTTCTGTTTGATCATACCTTTTGAGAAAAATACTTCAACTTTGTGTAGTTACCCAACGGTGCAAATAAGAAATTACAGCTGGTCCGAAAAAAATCGTTCTCTGGGAAATTTGTGTCAGTATCTGCCTGTCTCACCTGCCCTGGGTGTTGTCGCCATCGCGCTGCTCTTGTTGGCCGTAGAAGTTGCCGGAGTACTGGTCGTTCACGTCCCACTGGAAGTTGTACTGGGCGGGCGCCGACGGATACTCGGGCTGCTGCACGACGGGCGCCTGGTAGTTGTAGCCGCCCTGGGGAGCTGCCCACGCCGCCGCCACCACACACAGGATTACTGCTGCCTAAACATCCAGAGAAAATAACATTAACGAATTGATGTATCTCTCTCATTCTGCTCCCATATGAATTGTAACTTTCATTTCCTGGACCATTCAAATCCTGTACCCAGCTGCAAGAGAGCTTTACCATGTTCGGAATACTTTTCTTTTTTCATCTCTCTCTTTTGGACGATTTTCACTCCTAAAAATATATATTGCAAGATCTTTAAATTATAATATTTCAGCGCATATTTAAAGGAAAGTTCTTTCAGAGCGCAAGTACCTTCATGTTTCTTCTTCGCTGGAGTGTTCGGAACTGATAGCTCGTCTCCGGTTCCTTTCCCCTTATATAGTCCGCGGCCTGTCGAGGGAGCGGGCCGTGACCGTTGCATCCTAAGCGAAGGTCTTTCATGAACCAGTCTGACGTGACAAAAACAACCCGGGATACCTGGCATTGTATCCACCTTTTGAATTTGCTTTGATATACTGTGGATTTTTGAAGATTTTTCTTCTTTTTGTGTTTAGCTGGGACCAAAGAAGGTCAATCTATGAAATAGTTCTGGGTATAGTGATTTTACTGTATTTTTTCTGTATTTTAAGATTTAACATATTACTGGCATATGACAGAAAAGAATGGTACTGAAACTCTATTTACTTATGTTCTTCTAATAAAAAATATCTCTTACAATCTCTTACCAATACGTAAATACTTGAGGTCACCGGTGAATTGTATTGAAATTATCAGCAATGAATAAGTACCAAACTACAAACCATTTTTACTGGACAT